GAGCGATGGCACTAGGGCTTGTACTGCTGGCCGGCCAGTGGGGCCCTGCGGTTATCGGGAATTTTCCTGCAAGGAGACAGCAATCGCCTAGGTTTTATCTTAGAACTTCAGCAGAGATACAGGGAGGCTCCTGGGTTTCTTCTCCCAGGTTGTCCTTCTGAAAGCAAGTGGAAGTTACCAGTAAGCTTAAATTGTTTCTCTATGTCAGAGGTCGAACTTAAATGCTTTGTATCTCAGTCTGCTATGGGTCTCCTGGAATGGAAATACTGAGTTTTCATTGCTTCAATCAAAATTATTGCTTGTATCTAGAAGTAGAAAAAAGAAAAAGCTAAATATTGTGTTAAGTGCTTGATGTTACTGAGGGGAAAATATCATCTGTATGTGTTTTGGTTTTTTCTAGCATGCTCAGAGTTTTCCCAGAGGTCCTGTGAAGAATGTCTAAAAAATGTTTCGGTAAGATTTTTAACATCCTTTTTGACTGAAAGTTTGGTGGGGGTTTTTTCCTCCCTTGATATGAAGTCAGATTGTTGGGGTTGGTTTGACTGTTTGGTGGGCGTTTTGATTTTAATAGTGAATCTAGTCAAACTACCCTTGATAAGAGGTAGTCTGTTATTTAAATGGTAGTCGGCTGATTTGCTTGCTTCCCCTCTGTCACACTTGATGCCGTGTCCTTTCACTTTACTAGGGTTACTCCATGATTTGGTCACTCAGGGTATTTCTCTGCTTTGTCTGGAGAGGATGGACACTGTAGAATCTAGGCTTCCAGTTTCAGTGTGGGCTTAGTGCTTTCTCAGCGCAGCAGAGCAAGTTGATGTTGCTGCTGGTTTAAACTCATCGTCATTTTGCAAGCAGCACTTAGTTAAATTGCCATCTTTTACAAGGGCTAGATAAACTGACTCTTCTGTGGCTGAAATGCCTTGCATTTCTTGTATGCTGAATGGGACAACTGGGAAATAAACTAGAAATGCTTTTTTTCCAGAGATGCCCCAAGTTAAATGCAGGTATTTAACTGAGGCAGACTGGATCAGTACTTTGTAGGTGTTCAGACTTACTGGCCTCTCCACTGACTACATCAGACCGTGTGTGCTTAACACTGCCAGGCTAGGTCACTGTTCTGGTAGCAGAGTGTTTAGATTTCCAATGAGATTGCAATAAGGCAGAGACTTAAACCAGTAGAATTTGTTTCACTGTTCTCAGCTCAAAACCTTTTTAGCCCCACAAAAGCGTCATAAATACTGAAAAGGTGTCTGGCCCTGTGAAATAGAAGAAACTCCCATATTTAAAGTGAGAGATTGTTTTGAATTCTGACTTCAAGTGTCACTGAAAAGAAATACTTCCTCAGTGTTTAAGTTACTGCAAAACTTTTTCAGTAGGGGAAATTGAGAAATATTTAAACTTACCTGGTTTATGCTTGTCTTAAGCATCATTTGTCTTTTTTAAAGGAAAGAATATTAATTGCCTTGTATTGGTGTGGTTATTGTGTGTTGTCAAACTTATATGTTGTTGTCATAATCATGACATCATGTAAAGAACTCTTTGTCTTCAAAAGTATAAAGTAGGAAGTGGAAGATATGGATCATTAAAGATTAAATGTTCAGCACTACCACTGGTGTAACTGTCACTTCAAATAAGTGCTGCTGCAGATACATGAGCTCAGCTTTTATTAACCTGAGAGCTATGTGCTCACCTTGTGAGAGAAAGAAATCCTTTAGCTGTGTTTGTGCACTGAAGACGCTAACAGAGTTATAGATACATTATTTTCAGAATCTGTCAAACCAGATCCAGGCTTGTTCTAGTGACAGAATGATGGGTGATTCAGGGCAACTGCTTCAATAGCATCAGTGTTAACCGTGAAGAAAGGAGTTTAGATTCGATTCAGACCATTCATGCATACATTAAAAAATTACAGAACAAAGCCATTAGTTTTTATATGAGTAATACAAAAACAAAGGATTGCTGAAATAATTTTGTTTGCTTCAGTTGAAAAATCAGATTTTCATATTGGTGATAATATAGATAGCAGCAGCAGATAAAAATGAAAAATAATGTTTGGTGAATAGAGAAAAACAATTCCAAACAAATCCTTAAATGTAGTAATTTAGTTCAGTTAAATAGAATTATGATTAAAAATGCTCAAATTTGGTTTATCATAATTATTATTTGGTTGGTCTTTAGAGTTGATGAATACCTATTTTCTTGTGTTTTTATCAATAACTTCTGAGTGGTGATTTGATAGATATGTTATTGCATTTCATCTTACTCATTACACCAAAAAATAATGCAGAAGGGTTTTGATTAGAGCTGTTGAATCTTGAAACTGAATTTATTTACTTGAAAGAAATATTTACTGCTAGGACTAGCAGATTACCAGATGTATTAAAACTTGAACTTTATCTGTTACCAGACGGCGCGTAAATATCTATTGATTAACGTCCTGAGAGAGTACTCTCTCCATGTTCTAACTCCATATGACTGTGTAAGGCAAAATATGTAACCCAAATGCTAGATAAAGACAGATTTTAAATAGATACATTTTAAAATCTGTGTGCATGTGTAGAGCCTCAGCATTCTAGAGAATTTTCCAAAGTCTCATTTTTAACTTCTGAGTAGTCTACCAAACGCTTTTCCCCTTAGCTATTTATTTTTGTCATTCTTATCTTTGTCCTAATAACAAATGTATGGAGTCTTAAGTTCTTGTGGCAAATGGATTTTAGGCAAGCTAGGCCTTAAAAAAAGGAGCTAACAACAGCTATAGGAAATTATATGGTCAATAAATGTAGCCAATTTTTTTTTTTTGAAGGAAAGGTGGTGATAATCAGTTGCATACATCTATCTAATTACAGAGGAAGAAGCATTCATTTTGTGTTTGTAGTTACTGTCTGATCTCATAACAGTGAGAACACATCCTTAAAGTGCATGTGGACTGAATTAATGATGTTGCACTTTATTTTAGTAGAGTTTCACACAGGTAATGAAGTCAGTGATGTCCATCAGAGTGTGAACGTGGTTCCTAGCATACTCTGCAACAGATGTATGATTTACCTCTAAATAAAATAATCTTTTCAGTCTTCATTCCTAGGTTTTGTAGATGAGGACCAAAGTTAAGGAAATGCTTCAGCCTTGAGTGATTTTTGACAATTAGCTCAATTTTTACCATTGGGAATGAGTCACTTGAAATATTTTATTTTACTTCAGCCTCTGCAGCAATCAGTAGCTGTATCAGGTATTGCCTTTTGGGCTACCCATGTTTTTAGTAGTTACATGCAGTAGTCTCCATCAGAGTCATAGAGTTGACCTTCCAGTGCTCCTAGTTGTCACCAACAGTATAGAGTTGTTCAGGCTAGCAGAGACTTTGAGTCATCTAGTCCAGCCCCCTACTCAGAACAGGGTCAATGTTACATTCAAACAGGTTTGACTTTTAGTCTGCCCTACTTTTGAACTGTCTATTCTTATTAAATAATTGATCCAGCAAAAATAAGGATGTTCTCATCTAACATCCTTAATTGAAATTTAAACTTAGGAGGGCAGGATTTCTTACAAACATTTTTTTGCCTTAATTATTTTTGTTGATATGTGTTTATGAGTATATTTGACTTGTACAGTCTACCAACTACAAAATATGAATAAATTTTTCTTGTCTTAACTTTTTTCAAGAGAGCAGAATCTACTGCCAGTGGTTTCCTTTCTATTTAATGTTTTCTAACCCTTTAGAGCAAGATAACAGACTTTGTGCAATTGAGGATGTATGACAGAAATGTTCTTGATGGTATTGTTAGATAGAGCATAGTTTCTCAATAAGCTCTTTCTAGAATGAGTCTTAAAAACACCCTGTTCTCAAGGATTCCTTTTACTGTCATCCAAAACTTCCTCACTGGTTGAGTTGCATGGTAAAGGAATTTTGAATGACTATCTAGTTTAACAGATGAAAAACAACGCTTAAGCTTGATACTTAGTGGTGACATAAAAAGCAGAAATGTTGTGCTGATATTATAACTATAATACATGTAAGAAATATCAAATTTTAAAAATATCCAGATATGTAAGTGTGCACAACTATGGTACCTAATGTACTTGGCAACACAGATTGGATAAGGCTGTATCTCTTATAATCTTGTAGCAAAACCTCCTGTAGAGTTGTAGGGGTTCTTTATTTTTTTTCTTTCTGTTGATAGTCAAATATAGGGCTGAAGTAAGATTATAAGGGTATCTTTAATCATCAAAGATACCAAGTGTTTTAAAATTCTGGACAGTTGGCTTTCTGGTCTTGGTTTTTTTGGTTAATTTCAGTAACTTTAGACCCAAAGCCATTTTATCTTCAAGTATACAGAGTACCTCAATATGTTCCCAAATATTGTCAGACTAGTGTAAATATTTATTACCTTTGTTACCTATAAGTACAAAATGCACTTACTTGGTTTAGGCTTATTTAGGAATTGTACCAGAACTTCTGTAGGTCTTGTACTACAGAGCACTTTCAATGTGTCTGTACAGTACTGTATGTGCTTAAGAATTCTGTCGGTGGAGAGGAGCATGAAATTGTAAATGGTTTTTGAAGATCGATAATGTGTTTTTTGTTTCTTTTGCACAGTGCCTTTGGTGTTACACCAACAACACTTGTATTGATTACCCTGTAAGAAGCATTCTTCCACCGTCTTCATTATGTTCGCTCTCAAATGCTCGATGGGGAGTTTGCTGGAGTAGGTACTAATTTTACTTTTGCTGTAGAGAATTATTTACAAGCATGATTAGATTAAAGTAAGACTACCCCTTGCTAGAGCTGTTTCCAGATGACTTATTTGGAGGGGTGTGGGGAGGAGGCAGTGGTTATAATTTGGAACCATGACCCCTAATCTTCAGCACTTACAAAACAGTCACTGATAACGGTTCTTTGTGAACAGCCAGTACAGTTATTCTGTACTGATTCAATGGCTTTAAAACATTTACTATGTAGTGAAATTCTCTTGACACTGAAGTCAAGACTGGGAACTAGTCATATTGGAATGTTCTGAGTATTTTGTGTATGTAGTCAAGATTCGCCTGTTTCTTAAACAGTAGTTTTGAGGTACAAAGAAATAAAGTCATTCCCTGTTGACAAAGGGCGACCATTCTTACCTTTTCAAAATATCTTAAAATGTTGGATGCTATGCCTAGATTCACGATTTTTATAATATATTCCAGAGGCAGCAGTGAACCAATACCACAGGAATGGAGCCAACCAAAAATTCTTGAATGCTGTTTTTGCTTAAACAACTGAAAAAAATGTAGTCGGTTGGTGCTGAAGGTGATGCAGTTAAGGTTAAAAAAAAAAGCTGCAGAGTGCCACTGTAGATTGTAGTGCTGCATCATTTCATTGTTCTTGGATTTCCTTTTGCTTTGCATTACAAAATACAGTGCAGTGCATGTGCTGCCGTTGGGGTGAAATCTTCAGAGCTGTTTTTGCAATACTGCAAATACAGATCTAAATTCAGAATAGACTGGAACAGAAAACAATAAGACATTGGAAAGCTTGTCATGTGAGATAAGAGTACATCTTCAGTCCAGCAAAACAAAGGTGTGCTGCTTTCTGTGTATTTGCTCATGGACACCAGAAGGTTAAATGACAAAAACAAGCGGGGATGAATGATCAGTAACTGTGTTAGCTGTAAATTAGAAGAAAGTTATCACACTTAGAGCAGTGAGATTATGGAATACTCTTTAAATTAGAGTAGCAGAGGTAGAAGATTGCTCTTAAAGTGGAGCATGCAAGTTTCTGAACACTACCACTTCATATAATCCCTGAAAACTGAGGGACTAGATTGGACAGTACATGAGAACTTTACCAGTTCTTCGTTCTTAGCAGAAGGGCTCTGTGTTGTGAGAGAAAGGATTTATGCTTAGTCTTCTTGAGTTTTTTAGAGCTACAGAAGGTATATAATTTCACTGATAAGGCTTTCAATATTACAGTAAATGCTGTTGCTATGAACTGTTAAGCAGACTTTTTTTCTGGAAGTGTGGTGGGTTGATTCCTGCCAACAGCTAAGTACCCACACAGCTGCTTGCTTGCTCCCTCCTTCCTCTGGCCCCAGTGGCTTGGTGGGAAGAAACTAGGAAGAACAAAAGCAGGAAACTCATGAATTGAGATGAATGCAGTTTAATAGGGCAAGAAAAAATGGGGAGTGGAAAAAAAAAAAACCCACCAACAAACCACCAAGCAAAGGAAATCACTTGCCACCTCCCACAGGCAGACTGATGGTCAGCCACTCCCCAAACACTAGTCACCTTGGAAGCCAAATACACCCTCCACTTTACCTTTATCTCAGGTTTCATTGCTGATCCTGGCGTTGTGTGGTGTAGAATATCCCTTTGGCCAGTTTGGGTCAGGTGTTCTGGCACTGGCCCCTCCTGGCCCCTCCAATTTCTTACTTGCCTCCAGCTCTACTCACTAGGGAGAACAAAGTTGGGGGAAGAAGAAAATCGTGATGTTCAAGCTTATTCAGCAACAGCCAAAACATTGGTGTGTTATCAGCACTGTTTTAGCCAGAAATCCAAAACATGGCATCATATTAGCTGCTGTGAAGAAAGTTAACTGTCCCAGCCACACCCAGTACAGAAATGCATTTACGCTGTGTCCCATTGCAAAGCAGTGATTGCTGGTGTCTGCTGACACTAAGGGTGTTCTTGGCAGTTTACTCTTGCTATAGAAATTGCTTCGAGCTTGGCCATTTGTGTTTCTAGATTGAATGCAGCTTAAACAGAGAATGGAGCATATTCTCAGCAAAAAAGGTAAAAGCGTAAAAAGAAAAAAGGAAAAAAAACAAACCAACAACAGAAAAAAACAGATATGCATTTCCTTAATAGATTTTTTTTTTTATAAATTAGATGTAGCAACATGCCATGGGGATATAGGGTCTTACTGAGACGTCCCCTTTGGACACAGGAGGAAAACTAATTACCTTTTGAGCATGGTGGTGTTTTGCAAATAAAATGAAGATATGAATGTTGGCCATAATGAAGCTGAATATTGCACCTCTCAAAGTCAAAAACAAATGACTGCCTTCCAGTTAAAATTTTTATGGAATAAGACATGTTGACAGCTTATTAACCAGCAGTGAAGAAAAAAGAACAGTATAGAAGCAAGGTAATACAAAGTAGCTTAATTGTATTGTTTTTCAGGAATAAGCAAATGAAGTAGATAGTGGAGACAGGAATGCAGACCAAAAACTGACAATCTTTTTCTGCATTTTGTTAATAGGTTCAAAATATATTTTTTGCTTCTATTAAATGCCATTTAATAAGTAAATAGAATGGCATTTAAAAAAGTAAATAGGATACTTTAAGGAAAATTAAATGGAGATTAAAACCATTTTTTTTCTACTTCAGTGAAAGAAGTGTATTTAGTTGTCTGTAATTTGTAAAGGAGTAACAGAATGAGAAATGTGATATGGTGAAATGTTACTTTCAAAATTTACAGGTTCAAGATTTGCTTGTGGATTGTAACGAGAAACTGTGTATTAATCTGTATTATAACCTGTAACACACAAGCAAAAATGTTTACTGGGATCTAATCTTTGGCAGGATCTGTGAAGGGTATTCCTTGGCCAGATGTGAGTTGGTGAGATCTGTAGAGAAGTAAGACTTTTGGCTTGTGCATGTGACCAGAGAGGATAGACCCTCTGAACTTCACTTGCTAAATTTGACTGTCTTATCACTAGTACCCTGAAGCAGTAAAAAGTGCATGTGCAGCTACTCTGTATTACTGCAGCAGTGTGAAGCTGCTGAACGTGGCAGAGTTCAGAGGGATTTATGTGGGAGAGAGGAGATGGACAGCTTCCCTCATCAGGCTTTAAAATAGACAATGTGGCATGTGTGTGGGGAGAGGTGTTCAGTGGTTATTATCTCTGATACAGCTTCCCTAACTGATTTCATTTTGTCCTTTGTTAGGTCCTTTAAATAACTCCTCAGAGTTGTGTCTATAGCATTACTGTCATCCCTGTCTGCTTTCTTCTTGGGCTTCATTCTTTTCCAGGATAACAGGTTTCAGATTCAGCTACAATTGTTACAGTCTATGCAGTTAAAATAATGCACCATGACCACCCCATTTGTTAATTACTCTTTGGATGCAGAAGATGTCTTCACAAGTTTTATGGAGAGTTTTATATTGGCTTCTTCAGATCCTCTGACATAGTCTTATTACATTTTACTCTTTCTCGAACTGCTGCGTGTAATGTGTGTACACTGACGCTGCATTTATATGGCTCTTCTTGTTCATGCTGTACACTGGCTAAGATTGTGATTGGGAGGATAGAACTGTGGAATGTATCATAAAGTATTACAGGATGACTTTTAATAATTTGCTATATGTAGAGAGCAATTTTACTTAATGTCTGTTCAGTGTAGATATGCAAAATTCTGATGTGATATGCTGAGTTTTAATGGGGGTATTTGCAGAGAATTGTGGTTTTGATTATTTTTGGTTTTGTACAGAGGTAAAAAAAATGCTTGGGGGGGGAGAATTATCAGAAAGACAAATGTTAATGCTGGAGTCTAACAAATTGAACATATTCATATTTTTCAGTAAACTTTGAGGCTTTAATTATTGCCATAGCTGTAATAGCTGGACTCATTCTGGTGTCCATAACAGTCTGTTGCTGTTACTGCTGTTACTGCAGAAGGTGTTCCAGGAGGTAAATACACATATTTGTTTCCTTTACTAACTTTGGGTCCTGGTCTTCCCTTCCTACAATTTTTACTTTCCAGTATATTAAGAATCTTTTCATTTGGAAGCAATTTTAGTCAATTTTGAGACAACCAAAAAAGAGACACTAGAAATTATGCTAGAATGATGCTGAAGTGATATTAGTGGTAGCATTACAGATACATTAAGTAAGATACTGCTTTACCTTTCCACATTTTACACTTCCTTATTAAGATTGGACAAGAAGTATTTCAGTGGCCAAATAAGTACTTGCTTCTTGTGATAACAGAACAATCTCTTTCAAGGCAAGCTTATGGTACAGCAAAAATGGACCAGGTGGGTAACAAGTAAGTGAGCAACAATGTCATACAGCACTTGGTATCTGTGCTTCAGAGTTTTCTCTAGAATCTGTCAGCAGACAGGCAGCATCTAAGTGATTAGCTGTCTGTGCCAATTCAACAAAATACTCTATATGTAAGATGATACTTTTTTGCTCTAAGATACTAAGTGACTGACATTTTCAAGTAAAGTAATACTTGAATAATGTAATAATTAATGTAGTAATAATGCAAAGATGAAGTGGTTTTTGGATCTTGGAGAACTTGTAAAAATTCTTTTCCTACTTGCTTCTTTAATTGGCTAATATCCTTCAACAGGAGGGAAGTAGTTAATGAGTGGGAAGTGATCAGTGATTATTCCCTTTTGAAACACCTGGAAAGCCTTGTTTATAGGGACAGCATAATATGCTTCCTTGTGTCACTGAAGTTTTAGAGCTCAGGTTTCTGGGCAGTGTAGTTCCAGCTAGCTCTGTTCCTTTTGTCGTCACTCATGTGAACAAAATGGGGACCTTATTTCTTGATCTGAAATAATTTCTATGCTCAAGTGCCTGTAATTCATGGCTCTTGTTTGGTGTTTTTTTTAAAGAATTTATGCAGTTGTACAGTGTTCAGTGCTGACCTTCAAGCCAGAGAAATACGGTACATCTGTGGCTTTCAAAAAAGGAGAAAACAATTGTAAATGACATGTCATTCCCTCTTCTCCCTGAGGAAGATGCATGCACCTGTTCTGCTGGTAGATTGGTCTACCAAATCTGTCCTAGTGCAAAAATTGATAACTCCTTAGCTCTATGCTGATAAGCCCTGAAGATGTATAGAACTGTTTTAGATTTTATGTAAGATCTGCCGACTTCCTCTGTAGAAGAACTGAGTAGGCCCTGTGGCTGACATGCCAACAAATAAAGCTTGATTCCTGTGAAGAGAGAGATTTGTGCCAGACTTCAGTTTTAGTAGCTAAGTCGTCAATCAGTACTGTAACATCTAATTCCAAAAATAGAGGGTTAGTTGAGAGTCATCTTATGCCAGAACTCCAGAGGTGTCAAGCTTAATCTTCTGACACTCAGAGGATTTAAAGGTCTTGTCAGAGTGGGGTCCAGCTTATTTCAGGAGGATTCAGAATGTATTATTACACTGGAGCCTGATACATTACTGGCTTTAA